GGGTTCGATCCTCAGCACCACATACAAACGAAGATGTTGTGTCTGCCGAGAACTAAGAAAAAATAAATAAATGTTAAAATTCTCTCTTTCTCTCTGTCCCCCCCCTCTCTCTCACTTTCTCTTTGAAAAAAAAAAAAAAGAAAAGAAAGGTATTATGTTCATGTATATAAAAATTTTTTAAAAAAGACTTCTGACTGCAACTGGGGCCAGCATTTTGGCTGTAACCCCAGAAAAGCCCTGAGCCAGAAGTGTTCAACTAAGTCTCCCCTGAATCCCCAACCCACAGAAATTACAGATTTTTTTTTTTAAGTTCTGAGGCTTGAACCTAGAACACCTCTACCATTGAGCTACATTCCCAGACCTTTTTGAGACAGGGTCTTGCTAAGTTGACCTTGTGGTCCTCCTGCTTCAATCTCCAGCATCACTAGGACTGCCATGCCAGACTAAATGCTTGTTTTAAACCACTGAGTACACATGTCCCTTAAGCAGCCACTTCCTCTGTGGTTTTCAAGAAATCAACTAATCTGTAACATGGCAGCAGCTGGTGCTCACCAACTGTCTGCATTCGTTAGTTTACTCCATCCCATGGTACAACAATACAATAATGACCCCATTTTGCAGAGAAGGCCACTGAAGCCCAAGATCATATAGCCAGGATTCCTACCCAGGGCTGTCTGAGAAGAAAACAAGATGCTGACCTCTACACTGTTTAGCTTAGTCATGCTCACGAGCCTGGAGAATATTCTGGAGGTCCCATAGGCAACTCGGTACCCTGAACAAAACCAGACGTACCATCCATTCCACCAGCCACTCTCACCACATCTAGCTGCCAAGAACTCATCACCACAGCCATTATCACCTCCCAGTGGACTGTTGGGTATGCCTCCATCTGCCCCTCTACAACAACAGTCTCCCTACAAGTCTCATCATGTTTTAGCCCCTACTTAAGACTTTCCTCTGGCATTGCTTCTCCATGTGAACTTCTGTTGAGAGGTATCTTCTCACAAATCTGTGCTTCCAAGCCCTAGAGCACACTGGCCCCTTCCCTTCCCTCCTTGTACCTGCTACTCTCACCTGAGCAGGAACCTTTCCCATCTCTTAATAGAGGTACTACCTCTTTCCATCTGAACTGCCTCAAACCCAACCTTTTCCCATGCTGTCTCTCATTACAAACTTCTGCATGGTGTCCATCTCACTCTCAGAGTATCCAGTGTCTGCCATGGGATCTGGGCACCAAATATTTGTCAAATGAATCTCTTCACATGCTGTGGTACATGGTGCTCCCTCTTGCACTCACTCACTTCTCTTCTGGCCTCTATTCTGGGGACACCCCACCAGTAAGAAGTGGGGCCAAGATTTGTACCCCAACAAGCTGATACAAAGCCCAGTCTAGAAGTGAGGCCCCCACAAGTCAGACAGAAATATACTCCCTTGGGCTGGGGATATAGCTCAGTTGGTAGAGGGCTTGCCTTGCATGCACAAGGCCCTGGGTTCGACCCCCAGCAGCACCAAAAAAAAAAAAAAAAGACCAAAGAGATATACTCCCTTCTTCAGATCAACAGCTGGGCCTGCCCCCCAGCATGTTCCTGCCACAGCCATTACTTTCTTCCTGGTAACCTGGTCCCCGCCCTCTCCCAAGACAGGTCACAGCCATACCCTAAAATGAGAGCCCAAGCAGATGCCCATTTTTGCCACTGCTCTCTAGATAAACCTTGGCACAGGGGACCTAAAAGCCAGAGGTGGAGACATTCACTGGGGAAAAAAAAAGACTCTCATACCCATCCATGGGGGGGGGGGGAACGACAACCACAAAAACTAATTTAGTCCCTAGTGGTGTATGCTTGTTATCCCAGCAACTCAGGAGGCTGAGGCTGAAGAATTCCAAGTCTGAGGCTGGCATCAGCAACTTAATGTGACCTGTCTGAAAATAATCAATGGACTGAGGACTTAGCTTAGTAGTAAAGCACCCCTGGATTCAACCCTCAGTTAAAAATAAAATAAAAAGTGAATGTAACTCAGAGGTAGAGCACTCTGGGCTCAAGCCGCAATACCAAAACCAAGGAAACAGTCAGAGGACTTGGTGAAGGTCAAGAGCTGCCCCTGTGTTTCTGGCTTTGAGCTCAAGGATGGTGCTAGCCCCACCACTGCCCACATAGAGAAAAGCCTGCTGGCCCTAAGAGGGCAAAGGATCCTTCCTGGCCTCTGTGCCTAGCACATCAGAGGCACTTACTAACTCAACAACTGCTGGCTTTCTTTTTCTTTTCTTTTGCAGTGGTGGGAATTGAATGAATGGGATGCTTAGAAGAGGGCATTTCTCTTCATCACAGTCCATTCCTGAGTCTGCAGCTCAGCTCCCTGAGGACAGCACCCACAAGTTGTTGGTCTCTGCAGCCCTAGGCCTGTCATAAGCTAGTACCTGCAGGGACAAGTCCCTAGAGTATATAGTAGACAAGCCAGCTAACCTACTCTATACAACCTCCCCTTCTAGTCCTTCATTAGGAGGAAGGGGTCCTAAGAACTTCTTTTTTTTTTTTTTTTAAAGGAAGGTTTATTTTTTTAATTTTTTTTGAGAGAGAGAAAGAGAATTTTTATTATTTTTTTTAAGTTTTTTTCTGCGGACACAACATCTTTGTATGTGGTGCTGAGGACCGAACCTGGGCTGCACGCATGCCAGGGGAGTGCGCTACCGCTTGAGCCGCATCCCCAGGCCCTAAGAACTTCTTATGGTTTCTTCAACTTCTATCAGCATCTCCAGAAGGTCAACACTTAGGAAATATGGCCTGGTCCCACCACTTGCTGGCTTAATTACTAGAGATGTTTCCACCATCCCTAGGTCTCAGCTTCCCCATCTACAAAAAGGGAAGGTTGCTGACAGGGTTAAATGAGTTAATTGGGTAAAATGTTTGGCACAGAGCCTGGCACACAAAACATCCTCAAAACAATGGTAGCTGCTATTGTTATTATTATTAGCATCTTGGTGATTCCGGAAGGAAAGCAGCACTGGGCACTGGGCCAAGGGGGTTGGGGGCCTTCCCAGGATGCCTTAGGAACCAGCTGCCACCCACACCCCCATCAGCAGTTGAGAAGCGTCTCCCTCCTTGTCCTCACCCCTTCCACTTTCTCCAGGCCCCCTGCCGAGACCCCCATCCTGCCTAGCCAACCTCTGACTGCCTGCCCCTGCCCCACCTTCAGTCACAGGCCATGCCAGTAAAACTGGTCCCCACACCCTGTCCTGCACAGGTTCAAGCTTCAGGCCTCTGCTCCCTTTTCCCACTGTAACTCAGCTGCCTCTTCTAGAACCTAAACTGGTCTTGAGCTTCCTGCTGCTGGGAGGTCAGGAAGGACTTTATCCAGGATCTCCCTGGGACATTCTCTCCTGGCACTAGGGGCCTCCTCTCCAGCTCCCAGAGGCCCAGCCCACCCAGTCCTACTACAGAGGCTCAGGGGTTTGCCTGATTAATGAGGTTCCATGGTAACCAGGGGCTGGGAGGGTGGCAGATGGAAGGACAGGCTGAGGGAGGGGATCAGCAGCTGGCCCAGTGCCCCGCCCCTGCAGAGAAGGCCTCCCAGTCAGGAGGCCTATCCCCAGAGGCCTGGAGGGACAGGCCTGCACCTGGCAGTCCTGCATTTAGGCAGAAAGGGGCTCTTCAATGGTTCCCCAACGGTCAAGCTCCAAGCCTCCGCGGCACTCCCACTCCCCGCAACTGTGCCCACTACCCAGCCACTGATTCTGGTCGAAGCCAACAGGTATCAGTTCAAATCCCAGCCCCACCATCTGCAGCTGTCTGACAAGTCACTTCCCCCTCCGAGCCTCAGTCCCTCCATCTGTCAGATGGGCACAGTGACATGAAGCTCACAGTTTAGCTGGCTTCAAGACTACCAAAGGCCTGGCATATGGTAAGCACCAGCTGAATACATGTGAGCCATTTGTCACTGGCCGACGATTGAGTGGCTCCAGTGAGAACGCTGAGGCCCAAAGCAGAGAAGCAAAGAGGGACTGGCCCGAGGTCACCCCGCACCCCGGGGCGGGGCCCAGAGGCCCAACCCAGGCTCTGCACCGCCCAGCCAGACTCCTCGGTCCCCCCTCCCCCGCCGCCTCTGGGTC